GCCTGCAGCTCTGCGCCCGCGTGTCCAGCTCCAGACCCACGCGAGGCGGACCAACGCCTCTGAGCTGCTCCTCTGCCCCACGATGTCCCTCCAGCGGTGCGGCTCCTCAGGGAATCCCCAGGGCTTCTAGCTGGTTCCTCGGCCCCCAGATCCCCGTGCTCTGAGCATGTAAAACCTGACAGCGCTTTCGTTAACATACAAGATTAGAGCACGTCGAGGCCGGAGGATCTCTTGACACTCCTACACCTGCAGAGCACACACTTTCCCTCTTAGGTTTTAGGGAGGCAAACCCTCAGCCGCTAAAGCAATGAACACAAACTCCAATTTAAGGGTTAACGGAGGGGAGGGTCTAGCTCAGTGGTAGAGCCCAGGCTTAGTATGCACAAGGTCTTGGGTTCAATCCCCAGTGCCTCCTCTAAAACAGATAAGTAGGTAGACCTAATCACCTCCCCTCTCCAAAAAATCGTGCTCTTTATACCAACGTAATGGGTTAAAATAGATGATCAAATAACTGATGGATGAGTTAAATAGTGGGGGCCTTGCACACCATTATTTTCAAACTTGACCTCTTAGCAACGATTCTTGCTAACAATTGACAAAGAAATTGCCAGATTACCTCAGTCCTGAGGCACGTTTTAGCATTTTCAACCACTCTGAAAGTGGAATATAGGTGATAATCAGTGTGTGTTTCAATGTTGCGTGCTTATTTCCCTCTGAAAAACACTCTTAGTAAATGAATGGTGGGTCTTCCAGCCAATGATAATTTTGAGTCAGAGAGATTTAGAGGTAGATATTAAAACCTGCCTTCACTTTTGTGTGGGAACCACCTGGAAGAGTCTTATGATGTGACTTATTTTTTTAAATTGTCATTTAATTCTTTATCATGAAAAAATTTAAACATGTGCAGAAGTAGAGAGTTTACTGTGATGAACCCCCACGTACCCATCACCCAGCTCAACCACCAGCCAGTCTCACCTTCCCCCAGGTGTCATCATTTTTGCCAGAGGATCTTAAAATCGTAGGCATCACGTCACTTCACTAGGTATCTCTGATCAAGACTTTTTAAAAATATATAACCATCGTGCATTACCACCCCTACAAAAAAACAGTAATAATTTCTTAATAATTAGACCTAGAGCTTACTGTAAGTCATGTTCAGTTGACTTACTAAGTGAACCAAAGTAATTGTGTCAGGGAGCAGCGGGTTGTCCGTAAAGGAAGTATTTCTGTGAGAACTGAGGCTGGAAAATCCCAGCTAACAGGTTGTGGGATTTCCTCTCTGTGTCTTTTCTGTGCTCTTTCCTCCTCCTGACCCCGGTCCACTGGCTCACTGGCTCATTTGTTGCCTTTCTGAGCAAGTTAGAAAATCCATTGATGGGTTCCTGTAACGTTCCTTTTGTTCTTTCTCGACATGAGTGCAAACAGCTTGGCAGTGGAAAAGTAAACCTCCCGACGCTTGCCCCAACGGTTGGTGTCCCGGCGTGCTCACCTGGGCGTGGGTTCACAAGCAGGGTCCCCTTGTGCCCTGGTGTCGGCCCTGTCTGGCGGCAACGTGGGGCGGGGAGGTTTCGGTGAGGTCTTAGCGGGTGCACCTTCTACTTCCCCTTCTCCCTGTGGGCATACCCGAAGTTCCAGAATTCCCTGGGGAAATGCTAGTGTCTAAGGAGCAGCGGCCTCTGTTCTGTGCGCTGCTCACCTAGGCAGACTGTCTTGGAAATTTCAGTCATTCAGTGCATCAATGCACACTCTCTCCTTCACCAAGAAGTGAGGTCTGAGGCCAGAAATTATTATTGTCTCATCCGTCTTCATATTCGCTGCCCCTCTGATGGTTCCTGGCACACAGTAGTGGAGTAAGGAAGAAACTTTGTATTCTGTTACAAGTTAATTGCTAAAGGGATGTGGCCTGTAAACTTAAATCATACATAATAGCCCATCTCTGGGAGCCCTGCCTCCCAGGTAATAAGCCTTCAGCTAAAATACCATTGCGTGGCTCACAGGAACCCCCCGACCAGGCCCTGCGAATGGCTGCAGGAAGAAGAAATTAAAACGTGCCCTCCGGAGTCTGACCGGAACCAGCACTCTACCCCCAGCCCCTTTTAGTATAACAGAAGTCTGAATGCTAACTCAGGGGAGATGGTTCTTTGGGACCCTAGCCCACCACCTTCTGGGTCTGCTGGCCTTCTGAGTAAAGCCGCTATTCCCCGGCCCAGCTACTGGTCTTGTGATTCACTGGCCTGGCGTGTGGCCAGCAGGGCGAGCTTGGACTCGGTAACAGCAGGTGATCAGTGCATGTGTATTTGAGTCCTGGAAATATTTTGGAAATATTCTGTTCTCCTTTGCAAAAGCCTTCTTCCTGAGTAGCTACAAAATCCTCAACAAGTAAGTAGCGGCTATTGTTGCCGAGCGCAGCGAGGGGAGTTCTCTTGTGAGGAAGGCGGTCAGCCCTCTGATCAGGGCGGGGACTTGCAGAGAGACTGGAGCACCTGCCACAGAAGGGGTGGAAGGACTCGTGCGGCGGCCAGCTGCATGGGCGAGATGAAGCCCCTGTGTCCCCCCCAGCTCCTGGGACGCGATTCCATGCCACACCGACATGAAGGCTGACTTTCATGCCCTGGGAGGAACAGAACAGGAGCACCCCTCTGCTAGCATTCCAGA